ATATGTATATATTTTTTTTGGAAGTACCTTAATATACATTTGTCTTTCGTGCCCGTCTTTAGTTGGTCATAACCAGAGATATGATTTCTTCATAAAGTTGTATACGGTCGTATCCTCCATTTGTGTTCTTTCCCCAAGTTATTTACTTAATCCAAAGCTCAGGGCATGACTTCATGCTCTCCGATTGGGGTTTAAAACAGGGTATGAGGATTTCGCAATTTAAGGAAGTATCGGAAATTAAGGTTGGGTTCATGAACATCTATGGCAAGTCTGTTTAATTTTTTCTAAAGGCACTCATGGTTTATCTGATTCTTTTTATTGTTGACTCATTAGACGAAATAGTTTCTTCTTCGTGTTCGTGTTCAACCGGTGAATTTGTGATCGAAGGTCAACAATGCTACTTCTCTTGTCCGGCTGGTTATAACCTAATTGGTCCGTCGTCTGTTACCTGCACGGGCTCAGAAAGTTTCTCGGAACCGTTTCCTGAATGTGTGGGTAAGTGTAATATGGGAGCACTGTGGTATATTCGTGAAGGTTCTTGACTCCCCATACGAGAGGTTCTGGGTTCGATCCTTGCTCAGCGCTTACTTACTTGGACAAGCCATTTTGCCACTATGTCAAATTATTTGCTCAGGTGTAAATGGGTACCTGTCATTGCTGGGTAATAAAATAATGCAGGGTCCACAGGAAGATTTCTATTAATACTGATATGTCTTCCCTGGGTACATTAGACACAATTAATATTTATTTCCTTATTATAGTCGACAAACAGTTAGGATGATAAAATTGGTCCGAGCAAGCGATGCAAAATATTTCCAAACTCTTTACAGCTTTCGTAAAATCAAGCGCTGTTTTGTACTGTTAGGCCCCAAAATTTAGTGTAAGAAACACTCTCCAACGGGACGTCATCGAATACAACGTTGCTTGGCAGTGAGTCTATAGTATTACTGAACAACATATATTTAGTTTTTTGGAGATTAAGTGAAAGTTTGTTTGCTCTAATCCATTGTAGAATCTTAGATAGTTCAGAATTAACCGTTTGCATAAGAGTGTATGGATTGTTTTGGGAAAAGAACAGATTCGTGTGGTCAGCAAAAAGTATAAACGATAAAATATGAGATGATCTGCAAAAATCATTTATATATAACAATAAATAAAAGTGGACCTAGGAGGCTTCCCTGTGGAACGCCACAGCTAATATTACATAAATCTGATAAACAATCGTTTAAAAAGGCATATTGCTTTCTGTTAGAAAGATAGTTCCTGAACCACTCCAAAGCCTTTCCACGTACACCGTAATGGGAAAGTTTATAAAGTAATATATCGGGGTTTATTGTGTCAAAGGCCTTGGAGAAGTCCAGGAAAATACCAACCGTATGAGAGGTTTTGTCAATAGCATTAGCTTTTTTCTCCACAAAAGATAATAAAGCCTGAATGGTACTACGTTTTTCTCTAGTAGTAGTATGCTATATTCAATAATGCCCCCTGTCTTGTCCGACTGGTTATAACATATTTATGACCTTGATTTTTCAAAAAAGTGACTATGAAATCGGATATTCAGAGTATTTTTTAAATCATATAAATAATAAGAGATTTGTAAGGCCTTCAATCCACTTGAAAACAAATACTCAAGGCGCACTTGTAAAACAAAAACCCACACAACAACAACAAATAAAATGTAATGTATTGTAAACAGAGGAACAATAGTTAAATAGAACATATCAGAATTTAAAAAGAAATTATAAGCCGAATGAAACAAATATATTTTAAGCCCCTTTTAAAGTGTTGGGAACCTCAAATTTCCCAAAAATTTGATGACAAAATGTCAATTAAATTGTAACGTATTGTGAAAGAAGATGTCATTTAAGGCACTCTTCTGCAAGGATTTCCCCCCAAAAATGTGTTTGAAGACCAATGTTGATTCACTGTCGTTCATAAAGGTGGAATATTTTACTTTTACCCTAATTTATGGAATTATTTTAAAAATTATTTAAAAATAATAGATCTAGATAATAATATACATTCTCAGATTGTATTGAATAATAATTTGCCAATGTGTGTTTTGCGGGACTGCTAACACATGTGTATCCTACTATGCTGATTAACTAGGGGACCTACGCCCTCAAGTCATAAATGACAGTAATGAGGATTAATGCCCCACAAAAGGGCACTAATATAGCACTTAGACATGGTTTTGATCCTGGGGCCTCACAGCTACGAGGCTATTGTTTTGTCACTGAACCATGACTGTACGCAGCGAGGGGCTAGGGTAGAGGGCAGTTTCCATAAATTAAAAAAAAAACAGAAAATGCAATAAATTTTTCAATAATTTATTGCATTTTACCCCGGTCCCCAACATAAAAAAATCCTCTGGACGGCCATGCATTATGGCTCAAGGCATGAGCACACAGAAGATTTGTTTATGTTGGGAACCGGGGTAAAATGCAATAAATTATTGAAAATTTATTGCATTTTCTGTGTTTTTTTTTATTTATGGAAACTGCCCCCTACCCTAGCCCCCGCTTGCGTACAGTCATGATTCAGTAAAAGGCAATGGTCTCGTAACTGTGAGGCCCCAGGATCAAAACCGTGTCGATGTGCTATATTAGTGCCCTTTTGTGGGGCATCAATCCTCATTATTGTCATTTATGACCTAAGGGCATAGGTCCCCTAGTTGATAATCATAGTAGCATACACATGTTTTAGTGGTCACGCAAAACACACATTGGCAAATTATTTTTCAATCAAATCTGAGAATGTATACTATTATCTAGATCTATTATTTTTAAATAATTTTTAAAATAATTCCATGAATTGGGATATAAAAAATTATTCCACCTTTATGAGCGACAGTGTACATGAACACATAATTTAGGTTTTCCGTAATACGCAGAAAACCTAAATTTGGTATTCTTTCATCAATATTCGACTTCAAACATATTTGTTTTGAAAATCCTTGCAAAAATGACTGTCATCCTTTTTCACATTATGAAACAATTTAAGTGAAATTTGCCATCACATTTTTGGGGGCTTCCAATACTTTAGAGTGGCTTTAACTTTATTTTTAAATACTTAACGGGAGCTGTTTTTAAGAGTATTTCAATGGAGAGCATTCCACAGCGAAGGCCCCGCGTGACCAAAGGTTCTTTCCCCCCACTAAGTATTGAGCTTACGAAAAACAAGAAGTCCGGATATTTGAGACCGCAAACATTTTTACGGAATATAATGATTTATCAAAATAATAATGTGCTGTAAAGCAGAGCCATGGACTAAAAATAAAATAAAAGCGCAAGAATTTCGAAAACAATGCGTTCATTCATGGGCAACCATTGGAGTACTTTGAGAAGTCTTGTGATTTGACTTTTTATGTTGGAGAGGATCATTATACGAGGATCATTATTCTGTAATTTGTTGTAATCGTCAAGCTGATTTCGAGGTAAGTTGAACAAAAGAGCATTTCGAAAAGCAGTACCGGGTGAAATCAAAGCACGGGTAATCTTCTCTGAGAACTCGAAAACATGACTCTCACCTGAGTTTTCTTTTTAGTACTGTATGTACACATCATTTATAGCAATACTAGATACTGATCAGTGTATAACATCTTTTATTTATTATTTTGCAGAGTGTGATCCCAACTTCTCCGATTGTCTAGAAACAGGTATTTTCTCTTAAACATATTGTTAAACCGTGGATAGTCATTGTCCGACATATTCATGTACGCAAATAAAAGATTCGAGTGGTGTTCGCTTGCACGCTATGGGGCTTTCACATATACACTCCGAGGCCCGTACGGCGAGTAAAAAGAGACATTTTGGGAATTTTCGGCCGGTGTCCGGCCGGTTGCCGTAAAGTTCCTACGGGCGCCGGGACAGTTTCTGAACCCGTACGGGCGCCGTGGTGCTGAGTTGGCTGCTCCCAATCCTCCCGGCGTTTTTATCTGACCGTTAGGTCGTAGAAAGCCCGTAAAGGGCCCGTAGGGCACCTTACGGGTCCCATGCGGGCTCCGGACGGTGCCCGGACGGGCCCCTCACGATTTGGGGGGTCAATTCACATGAAAAATCTTTTAGGGCGCCTTGCGGTGCTCAAGGGTTCCGTACGTGTACCCTACGCCTCCCTCACGGGCTCCTCAAGAGCCCCGGATGATATGCACAACAACAGGCGTCTGCCGTCCGAGGGCCATTTAAAATGAATATTGCCCGTGCGGGTCCCTCACGGCGACATCTCGAAATGTACAACGCTGTTTTAAATATAGGAGGTGCGGATACTAGAGGACACATACAGAGTGAGTCAGAAAAAAATGTCCCACTTTTTAAAAGTTGTATTGTTTGAAGTATGAATAATGATCATGAGTTTCATGATATGTCTTGATAGAGTTATCCTCCTAGTACATTTAGGTACCATTTTCATTTGAATCTCTGCATGCATGACTGAACATCAGACAATCTTTACAAGACATGCACAGGCACACGCACACAAATGAGCATTCCATTCCCGACAAGGCCCACCCAAACTGTTAATTTTTGTTGGGAATTCTTCTTATCGTATGAAAAGTTGAGTGGCCGCTGTCCTCTTGGTGCGTATTGGCGGATGTTGTGCTTCATGATGACGAATTGTCACCATGAGTGTTGTGTGTGTTGTGTGTGCGTTTTTGTGTGCGTGTGTATGTGGGTGGTTGTGTGTGCGTGTGCGCGTGTCTGACTGTCTGTGTTCAATGCACTGTTTTATTCCTCACCGGGTAATTTGGCGCAAGTGAGATCTGGCAGTCATGTAAAGAATGTCTGATACTCAGTGATACATGCAGAGATTCAAATGAAAATGGTACCTAAATGTACTGGGAGGATAACTCTATCAAGATGTATCATGAAACCCATGATTACATATTCATACTTCAAACAATACAACTTTTAAAAAGTGGGACATTTTTTTCTGACTCACTCTGTAGTTCAGTGCACCGCACGGCAGCCGGACGGGCGCCTTGAGGACAACGGCCGGGCCCCGGCATGGCACCTTCCGGGAGCTATCGGTACACCTGCTCATCGGACGGAGCCCGTAAGGTTACCGGCCGGCACTCGGCCGGCACCCTGCCAGCACCCTAACGGGCGCTTTGCATTTCAGTCGACCAATTTTCTCCGGGCACCTCCCGGGCGCCGCAGAATATGTGACCACACATGCCGTAGAAATGAAAATCGGACGGTTCCCGTACGGTCTCTAAATCCACGGCAAGCCGCCGGGTAGGGAAAAGTCTTTCGTTGGTCATAACCAGAGATATGATGTCTTCATAAAGTTGTATACGGTCGTATCCTCCACTTGTGTTCTTCATGCTCTCCGATTGGGGTTTAAAACAGGGAATGAGGATTTCGCAAATGTTTCCTCGATGTGAGGGTTAGTGTAATAACGTGTTCTTTTTCAAGTTATTTACTCAATCCAAGGCTCAGGGCATGACTTTTTGCTCTCCGATTGGGGTTTAAAACAGGGAATGAGGATTTTGCAATTTAAGGAAGTATCGGAAATTAAGGTCGGGTTCATGAACATCTATGGCAAGTCTGTTTAATTTTTTCTAAAGGCACTCATGGTTTATCTGATTCTTTTCATTGTTAACTCAGTAATTGCGTGCACCGTACCTTCATTAGACGAAAACGTATCTTCTGCGTGTTTAACCGGTACATCAGTGGGCTACAATGAACGATGCAGTTTCTCTTGTCCAACTGGCTATAACCTAATTGGTGCGTCGACTGTTACCTGCACGAGCTCAGGAAATTTCTCGGAACCGTTTCCTGAATGTGTGGGTAAGTGTAATATGGGAGCACTGTGGTATATCCATGAAGGTTCTCGACTCTCCTACGAGAGGTTGTGGGTTGTGGGTGTGGGTGTTGGTCATCACCAGAAATATCTTGATTTCATAAAGTTGTATACGGTCGTATCCTCCACTTGTGTTCTTTCCCCAAGTTATTTAGATCCAAAGCTCAGGGCATGACTTCATGCTCTCCGATTGGGGTTTAAAACAGGGAATGAGGATTTCGCAAATGTTTCCTCGATGTGAGGGTTAGTGTAATAATGTGTTCTTTTTCAAGTTATTTACTTAATCCAAGGCTCAGGGCATGACTTTTTGCTCTCCGATTGGGGTTTAAAACAGGGAATGAGGATTTTGCAATTTAAGGAAGTATCGGAAATTAAGGTCGGGTTCATGAACATCTATGGCAAGTCTGTTTAATTTTTTCTAAAGGCACTCATGGTTTATCTGATTTTTTTTCATTGTTAACTCAGTATATGCATGCACCGTACCTTCATTAGAAGAAAACGTATCTTCTTCGTGTTCAACCGGTACATCAGTAAGCTACAATGACCTATGCAGCTTCTCTTGTCCGACTGGCTATAACCTAATTGGTGCGTCGACTGTTACCTGCACGAGCTCAGGAAGTTTCTCGGAACCGTTTCCTCAGTGTGGGGGTAGGTATAATATGGGAGCACTGTGGTATATCCGTGAACGTTCTCGACTCTCCTACGAGAGGTTGTGGGTTGTGGGTTTGGGTCATCACCGGAGATATGATGTCTTCATAAAGTTGTATACGGTCGTATTCTCCACTTGTGTTCTTTCCCAAGTTATTAATTTAATCCAAAGCTCAGGGCATGACTTAAGTCATGCTCTCCGATTGGGGTTTATAACAGGGAATGAGGATTTCACAATTTAAGGAAGTATCGGACATTAAGGTTGGGTTTACGAACATCTATGGCAAGTCTGTTTAATATTGTTTTAAAGGCACTCATGGTTTTCTGATTCTTTTCATTATTAACTCAGTTATTGCGTGCACCGTACCTTCATTAGAACAAAACGTATTTTCTTCATGTTCATCCGGTGATCCAGTAAGCTACAATCGACAGTGCTACTTCGTTTGTCAGACTGGCTTTAGCCTAACGGGTCCACCGTCTGTTACCTGCACCGATTCAGAAAGTTTCTCGCAAATGTTTCCTCGTTGTGAGGGTAAGTGTAATATAGGAGCACTGTGATATATTCATGAAGGTTCTCGACTCTCCTACGAGAGGCTGTGGGTTGTGGATTTGGGTCATAACCGGAGATATGATGTCTTCATAAAGTTGTATACGGTCGTGTCCTCCACTTTTATTCTTTGTTCAAGTAATCTACTACATCCATAGCTCAGGGCATGACTTCTTGCTCTCTGACCGGGGTTAAAGGGATAGTTGAGTTCTGTTGCAGATGGGGCTACACAAAATATTTTTTGGTGAGATAATGACAAACTGGGTGTCAAATTTGAAAGAACAAACAATTTAATGACAAAATCAACTTTGTTTGATAAAAATCGGTTCAGAGACAGCTGAAATATCCACAAATATAACTATTTATAATACTTGTGTACCACCACAAATATTACATAATTTGAAAAAACCGTTGAAAAACGAAATTACGCCCTTTACGTCGTATTTCAGCCAATGCCGATGTTGGCTTTTTGGTGGCATTTTCGTGTTGGTTATATTACGCACAACCAGCTGGTCCATGTATTGTTATTTTTAATTAAATAATTAATTAACGGTCACCGTATTTTTTTTGAAAGGGGAGCTGATTTGGTATGATCGTATTGGCTAAATTTCACACATTTTGGGGTCTAAAATTACCTTCATAGCAATTTTAGGTTCTAAATCGGCACTAGAAATGTCATAGATAAGAATAAGAGCGATAACCATGCACTATAAAGGCATTCGCGGTCTGAAAACAGAACTCAACTATCCCTTTAATAGCAAGGAATGAGGGTTTCGCATTTTAAGGAAGTTTCGAAAATTAAGGTCGGATTCATGAATATTAATAGCAAGACTGTTTGAATGTTTCTAAAAGCACTCATGGTTATGGTTTGACTGATTCTTTTCTTTAGATAACCCAGTGACGTGCATCGTACCTTCATTAGAAGAAAATGTATTTTCTTCTTGTTCACCCTGTACATCAGTAAGCTACGATGACATATGCAGCTTCTCTTGTGCGACTGGCTATAACCTAATTGGTGCTTCGAATGTTACCTGCACGAGCTCAGGAAGTTTCTCGGAACCGTTTCCTCGTTGTGAGGGTAAGTGTAAAAAGAGAGCACTGTGGTATATTCGTGAAGGTTGTGGGTTTGGGTCATCACCGGAGATATGATGTCTTCATAAAGTTGTATACGGTCGTGTCCTCCACTTTTATTCTTTGTTCAAGTAATCTACTACATCCATAGCTCAGGGCATGACTTCATGCTCTCTGACCGGGGTTAAAGGGATAGTTGAGTTATGTTGCATAAGGGGCTACACAAAATAATTTTGTGTCAGATAATGAAAAACTGAGTGTCAAATTTGAATGACCATATAATTTAAATGACAAAATCAACTTTGTTTGATCAAAATCGGTTCAGAGACGGCTGAAATATCCACAAACATAACTATTTCTAATACTTGTGTACCACCACAATAAAGGAGCACTGTGATATATTCGTAAAGGTTCTCGACTCTCTTACGAAAGGTTGTGGGTTTTGGGTTTGGGTCATCACCGGAGATATGATGTCTTCATAAAGTTGTATACGGTTGTGTCCAAAGCTCAGGGCATGACTTCATGCTCTCTGACCGGGGTTTATAACAGGGAATGAGGTTTTCGCAATTTAAGGAAGTATCGGAAATTAAGGTCGGGTTCATGAACATCTATGGCAAGTCTTTTAACATTTGTCTAAAGGCACTCATGGTTTGTCTGATTCTTTTCATTATTAACTCAGTAATAACGTGCACCGTACCTTCATTTGACGAAGACGTATCTTCTTCGTGTTCACCCGGTGATTCAGTAAGCTACAATCAACGATGCAACTTCTCTTGTCCGGCTGGTTATAGCCGAGCGGGTCCGTCGTCTGTTACCTGCACGGGCTCAGGAAGTTTCTTGCAAATTTTTCCCCGTTGTGTGGGTAAGTGTAATATGGGAGCACTGTGGTAATATTCGTGAAGGTTCTGGACTCCCTATACGAGAGGTTCTAGGTTCGATCCTTGTTCGGTGCCTACATACTTGGACAAGCCGTTTTGCCTCCATGTCGAGCTCTCTGCTCAGGTGTAAATGTGTACCTGTCATTGATTGCAGGGTCCACAGGAAGAGTTCTATTAATACTGATATGGCTACCCTGGGTAAATAAGACACAATTAATATTTATTTCCTTATTATAGTCGACAAACAGTTAGGATGATAAGCGATGCAAAATATTTCCAACTCTGTACAGCTTTCATAAAATCAAGCGCTGTTTTGTACTTAATTTTAGTTCGGCTCATTAGCTCATATTTTTATTTGATAGTTTGTAATCCACGATAAAGATATTTACTGCTTTAGGAAATATTTATAAATGATGATTTCCACTAGTTTTCGTATGGTTTGACAGTTTCTAAATTTGGTTGCATCGAAATTATCTCACATATCAAAGCTCACAATTCATTTCTTCTTTGCAAGCATAGTGAATATTGTATTCCAGACCTGGGACCCGTTTCATAAAACTTGTTATCTATAACAACTGCTAAATTTCTATGACAAATTTGCTCTCAGCCAATCAGATGTCATGATTTCAGTAGCTTATAACAGTAGCTTGTAACTTGTTATTGATATCAAGTTTTTCCTTGTCTATATAGTTGTAAGGTGCACTGTATTTTTAATACAACCACAATTTGTTTGGGTCAGTTCAGTTCAGTTTAGTTCAGTTCATATTTACTTTTCATTTCCTACAGAACAGTAATTTTGACAAGTAATCAGATATACTATACAAATATACAATGACACTCGAGGATCTAGCTGAAACTATTCGCATCGAAGGAACATCAACTAGTACTATTCTCCTGAGGGCCATCGGCCCGAGGGAGAAAAGTACTAATGATGTTTCTGAGTGCGAATAGTTTTAGCTTGTTCCGAGAATGAGTCATTTTATATTTGTTTTATATCCCTTCCATCTGTATTATTCCTACACTTCTGTAATAACATGAACCTTATACTCACATTCACATCTTACATTCAGATCTAAAAGAAACTAGAATTTAAATCGTCACGAGGACGATTAAGGTGGTCTGAAATATGAGCATGATCCCGGCATCTGATCGAGAAATAAATTTCACATTTGTGATAGCTTATTGTCTCAGCTACAACATACTCAATGCTCAGCGAAAACGAAGCTAAGACGACGGAGATATTGCTCGTGAAAGACGGAAATGTAGAATCCAGTTTTGAGAAAAAGTCATGTCCCATAGAGAATACACGCAAAATGTAAAAAATTGACATGCCTCCTTTAATCGCAAAAATACGCCATGATACCATTGTCAAAATGAAATATCGTGGAGACTGCATTTGTAGAGAATATTCTCAGGTAGAACATATCAAAATTCGAAAGAAAATTGTTGAATATTTACAGAGATACAATCAATTTTCCAAAAATCTGCTGACGTCATAATATGCAAATTGAAATTTTGAGTTCGGAGGCCATTATGATGACGTCAAGAGTTAATTGAGGGTCAAATGAGACATGAAATCATATCTCCGACTCATAATCTATCTAAATATGAAAGAAAATTGGGGGTATCTGTCCATTCTGAAGAGTTACAATGAATTTTGTATAGGCATGTTTTTGCACATGTATGTTATGTATTACAAGAGCTCGCACGCACGGATGCGTATCTTAACGGACGCTCATTCCGTTATTAATGGTCAGAAAAAGGTGAACAAGGTATCAAAATGCTTGAATAAATGTGCCAAATATGATGACAGAGAAAATTTGGCGATTCTACGTTGCAAAATGCGAGTACGCGCGGAAACGCGCGCGCATAATTACGCGCGCGCAAATTTTAAAAATGCTTACAATGGCCTGAAACGTGTGCAAAAAAAATTTGAAATGAATTAGAGCATTTTAAAATTTTAATGCGCGCGTACGTGCGCGTCGAGGTGCGCGCACGAATTTTGTTGATATTTTTAGTTGACCTTTGACCTGAAGTTAATGTATACCAAATATGGTTTATTTTTTATGACTCGTTATCGAGATATGATAATGACCTGATTTTTACAAAATGGCGCCTGGATGACGTCACGATGACCCCATGAACTTGAAAAAGGTTTCGGGAACTTGATATTATAGGGCCTAATGACTATCAGAAATTTGAAGGAAATTGACCAAGTCGATTTCGAGTAAACGTATACACAAAAAAAGTGTACGGAAGAAATAAAAATAAACTAAAATTTAAATCGTCACGAGGACGATTAAGGTGGTCTGAAATATGAGCATGATCCCGGCATCTGATCGAGAAATAAATGTCAGATTTGTGATAGCTTATTGTCTCAGCTATAACATACTCGATGCTCAGCGAAAACGAAGCTAAGACGACGGAGATATTGCTCGTGAAAGACGGAAATGTAGAATCCAGTTTTCAGAAAAAGTCATGTCCCATAGAGAATACACGCAAAATGTAAAAAATTGACATGCCAAATCTGGTATCAACTTAAAGCTTAGATATCAGAGAAAATGTTGGTAATACCATTTAAGCAGAAATCCCTGGACATCCAAACATTTCCTATGGATTTATAGAAAATAAATCCCCAGAAATTAGTTTTGGCACACTTTGGTTCCTCCCTGGCCCACTGTGCGCCCGGACTCGAACCAGGGACCTCGAGGTCGGAAGTCAAGTGCGTTACCGATATACCAAAACATTTCCCATAGAGATTACACGTAAACGGAAAATGGAATTCTCAAATCCCACTTTGCAAGTGAAATATGAGCATGATCCCGGCATCTGATCGAAAAATAAAGGACACACTTGTGATAGCTTATTGTCTCAGCTAAAACATACTCAAAGCTCAGCGTAAACAAAGATAACAATACGGAGATATTGCTCGCGAAAGACGAGGATGTAGAATCCAGTTTTGAGAAAAAATCATGTCCCATAGAGAATACACGCAAAATGTGAAAAATTGACATGCCTCCTTAAATCGCAAAAATACGCCATGATACCATTGTCAAAATGAAATATCGTTGCAACTATATTTGTAGAGAATATTCTCAGGTAGAACATATCAAAATTTAAAAGAAAATTAATCAATATTTACAGAGATACAATCAATTTTCCAAAAATCTGCTGACGTCATAATATGCAAATTGAAATTTTGAGTTCGGAGGCCATTATGATGACGTCATGAGTTAATTGAGGGTCAAATGAGACATGAAATCATATCTCCAACTCATAATCTATTTAAATATGAAAGAAATTGGGGGGTATCTATCCATTCTGAAGAGTTACAATGAATTTTGTATAGGCATGTTTTTGCCCATGTATTGTGGATACAAATAGCGCAGGTCGGCGCGCGCGTTCAACTTTGACAGCCGCTAATTCCGTTATTACAGGTCGGAAAAAGGTAAACAAGGTATCAAAATGCTTGGAAAAATGTAATAAATATGATAACAGAGAAAATTTGGCGATGCTATGTTGCAAAATATCAGGACGCGTGGATACGCGCGGAAACGCGCGCGCATAATTACGCGCGCGCAAATTTTAAAAATGCTTACAATGGCCTGAAACGTGTGCAAAAAAAATTTGAAATGAATTAGAGCATTTTAAAATTGTAATGCGCGCGTACGTGCGCGTCGAGGTGCGCGCACGGATTTTGTTGACATTTTTAGTTGACCTTTGACCGGAAGTTGATGTATACTAAATATGGTTTATTTTTTATTACTCGTTATTGAGATATGATAATGACCTGATTTTTACAAAATGGCGCCTGGATGACGTCACGATGACCCCATGAACTTGAAAAAGGTTTCGGGAACTTCATATCATAGGGCCTGATGACTAACAGAAATTTGAAGGAAATTGACCAGGTCGAGTTCGAGTAAACGTATACACAAAAAAAGTGTACGGAATAAATAAAAGTAAATAAAGAATAAAGAATAAAGAATAAAGAAAGAAAGAAAATTCTAACGAAATCAATAGGTGATCTGTCATCGACAGACCACCTAATAAAAGAAAATTGCACGGCTCAAAAACAGGGTTTAGCTGGCGCTATTGCGTATAGTGTAGTGCAATTATCGCGCGCACA